AAATTCTCTGGACCTGCCCCTGAAGAAAGGGTCTGATTGAATTTGTTAAAATCCTCACAGCTACAATATTGGTGAAAGGAGTGCATAAATGTGACATTCTCAAACAATTTTCTGTTTCAGTGCAAATACAAAGACAGAGCAGAGCAGAAGATAGAAAATATGGAACACGTCAAAAAATATATGCTAAATAAAAACAGAATTGCTGGTACAGCTTGGAAGGAAACTGCTAAAAACACACTAAAAGGCAAACCCAACACACACACACACACATCATAGTAAATGGCAACCACTGTTCAGTATTTGGTGCCACCGGTTTAATGGCCCAAAGAAAAGAGCTTTGAAAGCGTAACAGAACATTCAAGCAATAAAAACATACTGCAATGATGTTATCTGACTCAGCTCAGGACCACACAGATTTGTATGGTTGGTAGGATAGAGATGGATGGGGATTATGCATGAATTAGAAACAGGGAAAATAGTTTTCCTTGTGCTTTGTTCTGCTTCATACTTATAGTAAAAGTAGGGATAGTAAGAAAACAGTAAAGAAAAACAGAAATATAGAAACAAAGACATAAGAGACAACAGAGGAGATCTGGAAAATAAAAGTCATGCATACCTTAGTGATGGCGATGGCACAAGCTTGTCCCCAAATCTCTATCAGCTGCTGTTGTCCAAACCTGTAGTCTCTCAGTAGCTCTGTCTCGATAGCTGCCACCTCCTCTTTACTGTCAGACACAAAACAACAAACATTTAATAACAAAAATATTATGTGTGTTTATTAATCATGATTATCATTAATAAAACGTCATCAGAATAAATATAAATGGGCCCGTTCAGGGAGAAAATCATGTTGTGACTGGTGTGCTCCAAGAAATACTCTGAGCCTCATTAAAAGGCTTCACACATAATTCACATCAGAAATGCTCTGAATTTAAAGTACCTGTAGTGTGAATCAAAACCTAATTTCTGACTGAATGTACTGTACAAATGGAGTGCTGACAACAGGCCAGCACTACAGCAGGCATTCATGGTAATATGTGGTATTTACACGACACAGAAATTACTAATTGAGTAGTTGTATGAACAACACAGTGAACCATAATACACTAAAAAGGTATTTATAATACAGCTAAATTGGTCAGCTAATATGCATATATGCTAAAGTGGTCACATGTCTGCTTAAGGGAAGGGAGGCAGCAAACCTCCAGTAGATTTTTTTTAGACTTTCTGTATTTCAGTGTCTACTCATAAGAAACCATAACAGCTTCTGGGAAGCACGGCCATGAAACTCAAAACAGAACACGTGGGTGATGACGTGACCTGCACACCCAGATTGTGTGTACGTGACAACAACAACCTGACATTGATGGGTTTGTGAATTAGTCATTATAATTGTAATCTAATGTTCGTTCTGAGTTGATTTCCTCTTTGCTTCCTCTGACTGCTCTCTGCAGTGGTGACAGTGTGACGAATGGCACTGTATTAGAGCCTGCTGCTGCTTTTAGCATGGAAATGTGTGTGTATGTGTGTGTGTGTTTGACAAATGCAATGTTAAGACAGCAGTGGGCAGGTGACATGGCTACAGCCACAGTGCTGTCACCTGTTTTTAATGAGGAGCAGGAACAGGCCAAGTGAAAATCATGAAAGTCTGCGTTCTTCATTTGAGATCGGATTCTGTAATGTCGAATACATCCCTTTTACTCTACAGACACCTGGTGGTCCTCCTCAGTACTGCAGCTCAATAAGTAACCATTGATGATGACACAATTACTTTCAGGTAGAAACAAGGCTGGATGTCTTGATTTCTTTTCCAATTGTATGTGCTTTAAAAGAGTTATTGAAATGTGATTTATTATTTGTCTCCCCCTAAGATAATTTTTCAGACTATTACACAACAATAAGAGCAGATGAAAGAAGGATCGATGAACAAAATCAATACTGTGCTTCTAATCAGCACTAAATCAACAGGGTCACTTTGCTTAAAATCTTTACCTCTTAAAAAAGATCAAGAGCTCTTTGTGTGAGTGTAGGGGTGTGTGTGTGCGCCTATGTATGTGTGCTTTTCTACATTGTAGTTACATCATGCTGAGAAAAAAACAGACACTACCACATAAAATGGATTCATAATAGTAGACATTACGTGTGAATACAGATGAAAAGAGCGCCCACATAAAGAAACATTTTTTGAATATTTAAATATTCAATCATTAGTCTTAGTGTCATGGATTTATTTTGTCTTATGACATTATAAAAGTCTTTTATGTAGTAATAATGCTGTATTGCTGTATGCCACACAATTGTTATTCAGCTCTATCTATTTTTCAGGAAGCAACACAAACACCACTTCTTTTATTATTCTGTTTATGCTGAACAATT